CCCCCATCATCACTAATGTGAACTCCAACATTGACCAAATCTTGAAGTACGTGTCACCCTCGTTTGCTAAAATTGTTGCCAAAAAATTTTGCTTCCTTTCTTGACTACAGTTCTCACCATAGTCATGTCCATAATACTGCAGTATGCTTTCACAAAACCTCCACATAAATGTCCAGTTTTTTCAGCAAATCATGGCACCCTAATGAATATTCAACCCAGCTAGATTGACAATCATCTCCCCTTCTTCTCTAATTTCGACATCCCAAAATATTTGTCCACCTCATAACCAGAAATAAGCCTCCCAAATGATCAAATCAACACATCAAGTATCTTCTTAGGAAATTTTTTCTTTTATTGTGATTCTTCCTAGGAAACTATAAACTTAGGTTCATGACCTTCCACCATCAACGGGTACCAACCACTAAGCGCATAGCCGGGCAAGCTAATGCATTTGTATATGTTTTCTATTTATACCTACAATTCATCCAGATCTATTTGAAGCATCCAAGCACGTTCAAGCGCTTGAAGATCATATTTAATAAAACAAATATGATCATTTTGATAAGACATACCTTTCATTCTTCCTTACGTTGTTTTATGGAATCTGGTTCTTTTGGGTTACATTGAACCTAAAATATTAATTCCAAGTGAAATGACCAATGTCCTACTCTCGAGGAAACTATATTTGGATATACTTAAGGTAGTCACTTGACTAGGAGCGCAGGTACCAGTTATTTAGAAGTTCATCTGGGAACTAAAAGCACTTATACACTGCCATGCTTTTGTTAGGTAGAGAATGTGACTTCATATATGTAGTAGATGTTTTTCCTCTTTTTTTAATGTTAGCTTGACCAGAAAGCAAAAGACTATAAACACTTGTTTAAAAATTGCTCAACCACAAGGCAACTTTGGGAGCTTTTGCTGAATAATTTCGGGCTCAAATGGGTGATACCTACGTCTGTTAAATCTCCAAGCCAGGATGCTGCCAGAAAAGAACGGAAGAAGTTGTGAAAAACAATTTCTGCATATGTTGGATCATATGGATAGAAAGGAACTGCAGGTGCTTTCAAGGGAAAGCTTAAACAATACATATACTAGATGTCTTTACTTGTTAGCGCTCTGGTATAGGTTACAAAATTCATATGAAGTAGACGAAATGGTAGAATGTATTAACACTATATCAGCTTGAAATTTAATTGTAAATGGAATCACTATTTCTGTACAGACTTGCTAGTGGTGGTATATTTTGCCGCAATATAAGTCTTATTTACCTTTTCAAAAAAACAAGGATATAAAAGCTATCACCTGTGGCTCCCTTCCTACCAAACAGAAGCAATTGAAAATATAAACTTTGTCTAAATCCATTTCACAAGTCACAAGGATTAAAAAAAGGGAATGAAAATGAAAGGGAATTGACTCAACAATTTGCCACTAAAAAAGACACTAAGTTGCTGCCCACCAACAACATACTCAGTGTAATCCCACATAGTGGGGTTTAGGGAGGACAATGTATATGCGGACCTCACTCCTACCCATGTGGGGTAGAGAGGTTGTTTCCAATAGATCTTCCGCTCAAGAAAAGCATAAACACAACAATAACGAGAAAGGAATATGGTAATGTAGAAGCCATGAAAAGATATAGTAACAACAGCAAAATAATAAAATAACCAAAGAGAATAAAGCAACACAAAGTACTCGAAATCTACAAATAAGAAAACATGAGACTACGTGCTAATACTAATAGTTTGAAAAGAAGAACGCTCGACTATCCACTACCCTCATACTCTAATCCTCGACCTCCACACATTACTATCCAGGGTCATGTCCTCGGTAAGCTGAAGATACGACATGTTCTGCCTAATCACCTCTTCCCAATACTTCTTTGATCCACCTCTAGCTCTCCTAAAAACCCACCACACTCTCACACCTCCTCACTGGGGCATCTGGGCTTTTCTCTTCACATGGCCAAACCAACTCAACCTCGTTTCCCGCATCTAGTACTAAGTTGCTGCCCAACGGAAGAAAGATTGGGGACAAAAATATTTGATGAACTTCTTATCACCCGATAGCATATCGAAAAAACACACTCAAAAGTCTCATTAGTTCCTAAAGGAACTTATCTCTCTCATTAGTTACTAAAGAAACTAGAAACCTTGTGTATGTGTCCTCTAAATTATTTTTTGATGAAAAGGTAAGAGAGTGTCCTCTAAATTATATGCTAATACTGTGTTGCTCTCCAATGGAAGAATAAAATTAACTGTTTTTTATGAAAAGAGAAAAACTAATTGTTTAAGTTGGCATAAATACAGAAAGCTTAACTAAGCAAAATAATAAGCCTAAACAGGGCACAGGATAAGAGCAAAACGAATTTACCTGTTCAAACAACCCCTTTGGCAGGAATGTTATGACATCGTACTTTGTAGTTGAAACAGAATTTCCCTGAAAACAAAAACAATGCAACTAATCAGATCAAAGCTAAAATACGCATAGAACAGAATTGGTGAGGTACACGATTTATCTAAGAGGGACTGTAGCTACCACTTGACATTTTCCTTAATAAATCATTTACCTGCACCTTCTCAGCACAAGGCATATTTACATTTGATTACACTTTACTAATCCATCTAAATAGGTTGGCAGAAAAAGAAACTGAACTTTCTCTTTTCTATTTTTCCTTCTCCCTTAATCAGTTGACCAAACAGGTAACTTACATAACCAAAAGTTTAAGACTATATTGGGCACTGGGCTGCGCCGAATCTGTTGTTTCACCTTCACAGGACTAGGGGTTTAAGGAAATTAAATGAAATTCAGAAATATCATTTCTTCTTTTTTTATTCTTTGTGTGTGGAAATAAGCACACACCCAAAACAAACTTACGATGATCAAAGCTTCAGCAAACACGGAAGTAATTGAAAAAAAAAAAAGCAAGGACTACTTTACTTCATTATAATCATGCACATTATAGTTACTATACTAGCCCGTAAAACTACATTAATAGTGTAAGGAATCTTTCTACTCTGTCAGTTTACATAAATTAAACCCAAATATAAAGAGTTTAACTTACATTTATTGACAAAAATTAAGATTCTCCTAGACCATCGGGTTATTCTTCACTATACATTTTGCTCACAAAAACAAAAAAAAACAGAAAAATTTTTAAATATATAAATATTAATACTAAGTCGCTGCACACTCAGTACTACTCCGTATCCAGTGACTTAAGTATGAAATTTCAGTACCTTGAATTTGGCAAGGGCATTAGCTTCACGATCATTAACGAAGACAGTACGATGACCGGGTGCTTGAGGTTGTACTCCACCAAGACGAATGCTTCGAGAAGATGAAATACGATTAAGTATCGGTCCCGATCTAGATCCTCTCCATCCTCCTCCGGCCATTCTGAAACTTCTTGTCGTTCTCACCGGCCGGAACCGGAGAAATTACTCGTACGGAGATAAATTATTCTTGCTTATTTTTGTGTTTTTAGTTGTATTTAGTTGAAGGTTTAGTTGAATGAAGTTAAAGAAGAAGCTTCGAAGAATTGACTTGGGAAGAACTTCTTCATCTTCTTTCCTCGTTTGAGTTGGGAGATTTTTCTGACGATATTTTAATCCGCGTGAAGAAAAATAAAAATTAAATTCTAATTCGCACAAGGAGGCTGCACGTGAGGGAGGAGTTTTGAGGCGACGACGGCGTTCCGAATTAACTGTACCTTTTTTATTTTATTCTATTTTGTCGATAAATTTCAACTGTTCCACGGTTTATATTGGGGGTGTCAATGTATATTTAAAAACCAACTAAACCAACCGAACGGTATCGTACCGAATCAATTTTTAGGTTTTTTCTAATAAAATTATAGATTTTTATATAAATCTATAACCGAACCGATAATTAAAGTAGGTTTTTTATTTTATAAAAATAAACCGAAAAAATACCGAACCATACCGAATAAATTTACAATGCGAAAAAATATATTTATATATTAAATTTAAAAATAATATAGCATTAAATTTTTTCTGAGGCCTTGGAATTATGAAATAGTTACAAGTAATTAAACTTAAAATCCTAATTTCCAAACCTATTATGCTACTCCTATTGAAACTAAATTATTTCCAGCATATTCACTAGCAAAACACAAGGTATTGTAGCGATTATGAGTAGCAAACTACAGTGTGTTGAATATGTTTCCTTTCATATGATTTAGATTTATCTTTTTGAATATTTAATCTTCTATAGACTTTATTCTTGAGACCTAGCTTTGTTAATATCTTTCCACTCGTGTGATTTATATTTGTTTTTGTATTTGCTTAGTTTCTTTTACGCTGATGTAGAATAGTTGATGGATCTATATTCTAGTTATCTTTTATATTTTCTTAGTTTATCACTTTTTAAACTATAAAGATGTCTAGAGAGTTTTGCTAAGTCATATAAAGATGGATCTATACGTATGTTATTGCATTTTACTTCTACTAGTGATTTTTATATGACATTTAAAAAAAATTATCGAATATTTACCGAACTGTACTGATACCGAAGAGAAACCGACATGATTGGGACGATTTTGAAAAGTCTAATTTTGATTATATATAATAAAATAACCAAAACAATGGTATGGTACAAATTTTATAAAATGCCCGAACCGAACCATTTACACCCCTGGTTTATATTATGACGCACGACGTCGTGTTTTCTGGTATTTGGTTTCGTATGTGGTTTTTTTCTCTCTTTTATTGTTGTTTTTGTTTTTGCTTTTTAGTTTTTACTTTTTCCATTACATAGGGGATTTGGGAACGAGTAGTCAATGAAAAAAAGTATGAATAGAACTTGCACCTATAGTGAAATACTTTTGTGAAATTTTTTATCGATATCACTGGATTATAAGGCTTGACGATAGAATTTATGTCTTGTATCTCTGTTGTGTAGAGTAAATTTTATAGATGTATATTTAATTTTATGTTCATTATCCAAAAATTACTTTTCTTTTTTTTGGTTATGTGAAAGCCATTCAACTTTGTGGTCATTACTCAAAAGTCATTTTTCTTTATTTTATTACACAAAAATAATTTTACTATGCTCTTGTTATCACAATTGTTACTTTGACCAAATTTTATAAAACTTTCACTTGAAAAATCTATTATGCTCTTGACATTATAAATTTTTCCATTTATATAATACCTTCTATATTATATACATAATATATTTTTACCTAGTATTTTGCTTATAATTAAAATAATTTTTTATATTATTTTACTTATTATTTTTATAATATATCCGCACATTTAATTTTTTTTAATATTAATTTTCAAAATATATAGGTAGCGTTATTAAATTTGTCAGTAACAGCACTATGAACAAATCTCAAGTTAACGATCCTAAACATACCTAATGAAATATTGTTAACGAAAATTATAAAATCAAAGCTCTCAAATTTATCAGCCAAGCCACATTCATTAATCTAATAAATAAAATACTCACATTTAGAACACTGACAAATCAGATTAATACTTCAAATAAATAATATTAAGAGACAAAGCTTTAAATACTTAATATTCAACACAAATATTTTTGAACTTTTTTAAGTTTTACCGACTACAAAAGCTTATTTGTTAAACAAATCTATTTTTATTATTTCAAATAAATATTAAAAAATAAATATTTTTTGTCGTTTGTATATTTCAATATATGTTCATGTTTGAATATGATTAAAAAAATTAAGTGTCGTGGGAAAATTAAATGTACAAATATTTATAAAAATAATATAAAGTTGTTTTAATTATAAGTAAAATACCTAGGTAAAAAGATATTATATAGTATATAATATAGAAGGTATTGCATAAACGTAATAACTATAATGTCAAGGGCATAATAGTCCTTTCAAGCAAAAGTATTATAAAATCTGGCTAATGTGACTATTATGATAACTAGAGCAAAGTAAAATAGTTTTTGTATAATAAAAGAAAAAAGTTTCTTTTGGGTAATGAACACAAAGTTGAATGATTTTTACGAAATAAAAAAAAGTAACTTTTGGGTAATGAACACAAAGCCGAATAACCACCCATGAAATTTACTCATATTTTGTAGCTCGTTGGTGTTAGAAATATCCTCCCACAATAAGTTTGAGAAAACACTGAAATAGTTTTAAAAATGAAGGCTATTATATAAGGTAAAGAAATATATAATTTTTTTTCTTTTGAAGTGAATATACAATCTAACCTGACAAGATTAATCATTTATATAAATAGATTGAATTACATGCAAATTACGTGTCCGATAAATGGCATGGTTGTTCTTTTGCTATTCTTTTTTTGTTAAACATTATATTCTATTGATACCAAAAAAAGTACGTACAATGAAGTTCGAGGAGTAGATTTTACTAGCTACTCTACATATACAATCAGACACTATTACAATCTCCTATGTCTATCTAGCCTCTATTCATTATTGCCAGACACAGTATTATTCGATCATTACATCAAGGATCACCTATTATGGAAAATAACTCAACTGCTGCAGTGCTCTATTCCACTTGGCTATGTCCCTTCCTCTAATGTGGAGGTGCAGTACTATCTCCATGCATATACTAGAAGCATCAAAATTAGTTCGCGCGTGTCCTATCCGGAGAGACTTTATTTAGGGGTAAAATTGGAATTCCTTCTTAATCTCACTCAATTTACATAAAGCAAAAACTCCATTATTGGATAGATCAAATTTTTAGAGGAAGAAATAATTTTAGAGAGAGAAAGTGAAGAGAAGACTCAATCTTGAAGTGAAGAAAAGAAGAGGATTACAATCTTGAAGCAAGAACTAAAAGGGTTTTTCTAAACTTTCTTCTTGTATTTACTTATATTATGTTTAAGACTTTTATTGTTGATATTTGTATAATTATGAGTAGCTAAAAACCCAAGTATTCTGGGGTTATGGGTGTTAGATGATTATGTTGTTTGAAGCTTAAATTGATGATCTTGAATTTATCATTATGGGTTGTTTATTTGATTCTGCTGTTAATTATTTTACTGCGTAGCTAATAGTAAAATATTATTTACGAATCTTGAGTTAAACTTGAAAAAGGAAATTCTTGATTGCATATAGAATCAAATAGAGCAAGATCCGAACCTGGGCATCGGGTGAAAGATTCGCAATTAAGATAGAACTATACTTAATTGCCTTGTTTGGTTGAGAAATAGGATTTGTAAATGCATTTGAGTTAATATTAATACCATAGAAATATAGGTATTAATTTAACTTGAATAGGCGCATAAGAAATTGATAGATTCTTATGGGTATTATTAACCCTATAATCAATAACCTAGATAATTCAATAAATTATCGTTAAGCTAAAAGCGTAGCATGATCTCTAGCACGCTCATGACCCCGAAATATCTCTCTTATTTATTGTTAAAAGAAAAAGTGTATAAGTGGTGTAGTAATTTTGTGTAGTATTATTGTTAAATTACCAATCAAGTTTTAAGTTGGTTATTTATGTATTTTGTAATGAATTAGCTTAAATCGATAATTATTTGAGTTTGCATCAGTTGATAAGTTAATCACAAGTCCTCGTAGGAACGATACTTTACTTGTTACTATATTACTTGTCGATCGCGTACACTTGCGTGAGTGTTTAGGTCGCATCGTAGTTTTTAAAAACTACACTGGCGTTGGGGGCATCGGATAAACATTTCGTCGTGGATCACTTTGGCCATGTCAAAGGGAAGACCTTTGATGAAACACCAAATCAACGTCGTCCGGGGTCCATTCACCTCCGTAGTATTTGTGGAGGGGATAAGGCGACTGTTGATTACATACAGCCAGCTCTTCGCTTCTTGAATTAAGACGGATGAATAGAACTTCTCTCCGTGATCTAGCCACTCTACCATTTTTTCTGGTTCGCAAATTTCATCAAATAAGTGCTCCCACTTTGCATCGGTTGGATGCGCCTATATTAATAAAAGTCCGCGTTCTCAGGCAGAGGGCCGGGCAGTTGATAAGCTGTGCGTATCGCCTCAATGGAGGTATCTACCGCCTTACAGCGCACTGTGACCACATGGTTGACATGCTCGGGTAGATTGGCATAGAATTCTCGTACCACCATTTCATTAGCCTCCCCTGGCTCGTCAATGAAAGCTTGCAACCTCCGCTCTATCAATTCATTGAACATGTGGGGGCATCGTTCCTTGACTTTTTTGATGTTGATGCCCCTTTCCGCAATTGCCTTCTTAGCCGCCTTCTCTGTAAAACGGTTATGAGCCTCAAGGGAGACAAATTTGGTGTTGTCATAGGAGCGCGCTGGAGCTGCCCTTTGGCGGCTTGATGATGGACCTGTGGCTTGGCGCTTTTTCGTTGGTGCCATAATACCTGCAAAATGTGGACACATTAGCTCAGCCCAACAAAAGTAGTGTGACTTGTTGCGGTTACTCAGACTTCACACGTAAAATTGGTCATAACTAAATAATCATGCTCATTGAGGCCTTTCCACAAACACCTTGTGGGCAGTAGGCGCTCACAGCTTTTTTCTAAGGGTCTTGCAACAATGGCTTCCCACAAAAGTTCATCCATAACCCAATTCAAGTACTACGCACCCCACACTTACAACAAACTAACCCCACAATATATTTTA